TTTCTCTCGGAGCTTATCCACAACAACTTGCCTGCTGGCTCCATGAGAACTTTCTCCTAAGGATTCCAGAATCCTTTTTAAAAGCGTAAGCACATCAAAATTTTCAGAAACACATACCCAAATCTTTTCACCAAAAAGACTCTTTGTGCTCTCATGATTGAAGACCGACCGAGCTAGAGTTGTCTTGCCAAGCCCTCCCATTCCAACTATGGGAAGGACTGAAATAACTGAGTCGTTTGTGTTGGTTATCAGCTCCAAAATTTCTGCTTGATTAGCGTCTCTTCCGACGACATTTGAATCAACAGTTATGCTATCAGTTTCCATGACCAGAGGAACAAGGGGAGCATAATCCGCAACTCGGAGGTCATAGGTATTAGCATCATCTTCGATCGTTTTCAAGTCCATGTTGATGTCTTTGATCCTGCGAGCCATTCTCCATTGGAATGCCAAAGGGGGGGTTAAGGAAAAGATGTTTAAGCACCCCCTTATCTTAGTCTGGTTTTGGATCTCCACCTTACTACGCATATTTTCATAGTTGATCTTATCCAGGACATGAGCAGCATCGTAAGTAACATCTCGAAGATTCTTAAGCCAGAGTTTAACAGCCTCATTGGTAACTTCCCGTTTCTCAGCATCTTGTAAGACAAGATCCATCATTTTCAAAGATCTGCCCAACTTTCTCAAGTCTTTCTTGAAACTCCACACCAGACTCAACTCTGAAGTGGCGGATGCAAGCAACTTCTCCACTGTCACTTGAGCGGTGGCACTAATAACAGCATCCATTTGTCTTGCTTTGGAATAGTGTTGTGTGTGATTGATTGATTTTGGAGAGAGAGAAGAGAGAAACGCAGAATGCTAATGTTTGTGGTTTGGTATTAGTAATGATGGAACATATAAAATATTCATCACAGAAGCGCTAATTATGGATTTCTCAAGGAGAAAATATTATTAATTCATCACAGATGCTAATAATTTTTACAGATGGAAGAAAGCAATGTTGCAATTAAAGTGACAAAATATCACATGGTAACTGGGCCCTAAAGTTCCACAGGTAAACTGTTGTTTCAGGCTTCGCTTAATTGGCTCTTTCTTCTCGTTAGGAGTTCAATGTTGGAAACTAATACAATAATTAAAAGTATCTTTTATACATCGGGAGATTCAATTCGAGATCTTCAAGAACTTGTTATTATATAAATAAATAAAATTTTGAGTACTTGTTATTAATAAATAAATATTTTAAAAAAATCACGTGAAATTAAAATCTCACGTCTACTTTCCGTGAAAAAATACTAATTGTAGTGAAGTGTTTCTTCAAAAAAGAGACTTGATCGACTATTCAATCAAATGATATGAAGCTTATATTGTTAATAATTTAATACTCAAATTGTAGTTTATAGCAACCCTTCTTTCATTTAATGATAATTCAATCATCTATAATCTTCTACAGCATCATTTAACAATATACCAATATGTCCTATAATTGACCTCTTCTCTGTCTAAATTCAAATTAATATTTACAAATTCCTTCGTTAATTGAAAATGTTATCACTCTAGGTTGTGTGTCTGAAAGAGAACCATTTTGCTGTACGTGGCAAACACCTGTGTGTTAGCTAGAAAAAATATTTTCATAATTAATTAGTTGATGTGAAAATCATACTTGTTAAAAGGAGTAATTAAAGTATTTAAGCGATTTAGGATTTTTAACATTACATACTAAAATGTTGATTTATTTTTTTTCCATAGATTATAGAAATCGGATTTAACATTACTCGTGAAAGGCTGTAGCAAGAGTTTTAAGCTCGAAAAGAATGACATACACATTGAGGACTTGGACTTGACAAGTAAATCCTTCACAGTAAAGAAAATAGACAAAATATTTAATATTCCCGTTAAATTAGGTTTAAAATGTCTCCTATTATAGGCTACATTTTTAATACCTAAAATAATACTTCATTAGAGACAAGTAAGAAAACCTATTGAGTGACAGCCTATTTTCCTAAGTCTTCATTTTTAAAATCCCTTGCTAAATTATTTCCTGAGCCATAAGAATATTTCCGCGGATTAACCACACAGTGATTCGGCAATAATGTACTTGAATCAAATATTGGGTTGATAAAAGCCGTCCCTAATTGTATTTATTGAAGTTGACAAATTTATTAATGTGGTGATAAATTTTCATTATTTTTCAACCACACATTCTCTATCAATCTACGATTTCAGAATACATTCTTCCAAAATAATGTGACTCAAACATACACATAGCTACGATTCCACAATACATTCTTCCAAAATAAGTCTAAAATGTTTTCTATTATTACTTATTGATGGATAGGCTAATTTTTTAATACTTAAAATAATCCTTCATTGGAGACAAGTAAGAATATCCATAGCTCAGATTATCAGAATACATGGTGTTTAAATTTCAAATTTCTTCCGGTCAATAATAGATCCAATAAGAAAGTAACCTTGCCCTTATTCCTCAGGAAAATAAGTGAGTGCAGTTAACTAATAATAAGTTTGTTACGTCATTTCAAAAATAATGTCGATTTTTGATATTATGGGATGCATAAAAGAGTTTGCATGAATCGTAGGATCAATCAAAAGAGTTTCAGTGCGAAGGTGGACGAGTCGGGGCTATCCTAACCTTGGTGCAACCACTAAGAGCTTCTTTCGGCTAGGCCACTGCATGCAAAGATTTCTGCATGGATGGGAATGGCCACCAATGTGCTTAAGGCGATTGCTCCTCACTCTCACATGTTCAGTTTTCCTTCAATTGATTATATCTTTTCATCTGAAATTGTTTATGTAACTCTAAATATGAAGTGATGTGACTCGCGTGGATGATTGTAACTCACAATAACTTAAAGTTACAACATCTATGAATAAGATTGGTAATTTATATATATTTGAGAATCATATTGATATACAGTTCTGTTCTCCTACGCGCCACGCGCAAGAATATAGAGTGTGTGGTGGGTTGGTAGGTTCAGATCTCGTTTGATGGTGGTGCTGATAATGGCGGTGATGTGTTCGTGGTGTTGTGTTGTTATTGTTTGTGGTGATGGTGGTGTTTGTGATTTTGGTTCTGTGACTCAAAATATAATCTGTGACCTTAAAATTTAGTAATCTGTGATTAAAAATATAATCCGTGACCAACTATTTTGTTATTTGTGACCTAAAAATTATATAATTTGTGATCATAAAAAAATATGTGACCAATTAATTTGGAAATTTATGGCTGTGTGAGATCTGTGACCAACGAATTAATTGTGACTTATAAAATTTTTGAATTGTGACCGCCGAAATAATAGTCAAAATCGGAGCAGTCGCCGGAATGGTCGTTGGAACGATCGCCGGAGAAGAGGGGTGGTCAGAACAGTCGCCGAAATAGGTCCCGGAACGGTAGGGGTGGTGGAGGTAGGGTGAGTTAATTATATTANAATAAATAAATACCTGAGTTTTGCATTTTGAAAATTGACACCTGACAATTGAATTGTGTCAAAATTAACATCTGATTTTTGAATTTTTCCCAGCGAACTATTAGACTGTTTTTTTCTTTAAACAGACCTCCAAAATTACAAGACAAAAGAGTGAAAGTTTAAGCCATAAAGTTGGGAGACTGCTCATTACAAGATTATGCATAAAAAATTAAATCTGAAAGTATTATTTACATTATAAAATAAATATTGATGTTACTAAAGAAATTGGACATTTGTGGAGCACTTACAGTGACCTTAATTTCTCAGATAACGCTGAAAATTAATGTGAATTTTAACATATAGGGGTTGAGACCGATTGATAATTCCAAATTTATCGAAGATCATTTCTACACGAGGATTTTATACATGGAGCTGTTCGGTTTCAGAAATAGTGGCTAACTTGTCAGTTTGAGTCACTTCTTAAAATCAATTTAAAACATAAAGTCTACGGATCTGAACTATACTGAAAGAAATTCATGATTGTGTGCGAGAAATAAATTTTATTATGCATGTAGTTTACTATTTTTTTTAAAAAAAAAAACAAAAACTGGTTTAGTTCTCTAATTTTCGTTCAATGTTTCTTGATGAGTGTGTTTTCACTTTTGCAAGATGGAACTATTACTAGGGGTGTCAGCGAGTCCAATCAAGCCAAGTCACGAGCCGAAACTCGAAACTTGTGCTCGGGCTAGATCGGCTCACTGGCTCACTGGCCGGTGACTTGGCTCGTGACTGGCCGGTGACTAGATACGGGCTAGCTCGGGCTCGAGCTGACGCCCTAATATGGGGTTCAACCCGAGCCTCGACGGGGTGGATCTGAGCTACGGGCGACCTGAGCCGACAAAATATTTTGTCATCCCTAACTATAACTTAGTAGCATCCCAAGTATTTCATATCTAGGCTACATATTTTACCGCTTATGATGTACAAAAGCATCATAAATAATGTCAACAATAACTATTAGACCTCTCCAAGTTGTCTCGTTTGCAACCAAGGTCGTCCTTGGGACTGTAGATGTTGATACCATTGTTACAAGCACATTGTGAAGTACTAGTTCTTTTATTACTTTTCAAACGAAATAATTTCCTTTCTTGGGGCGATTTGGCTTCATGCAGTTGGATATGTCTTTTGTACATTTCGTGATGTTAAAAATACAAAGAGAAAAAGATTGAATCTTATTGTTAAAGGAGGAAATTTGTTTTTGTCTGTTGTACATTTCATAATGTACTTATTTTTGGGCAAATAATGTCAATTTATAGTTTGGTAAGGATACTTATTGAGTGCACAATTTCATCAAGTGAATCTATCGAGTCAATTTTGACTTATATAGACATGTACTGAATACTTCAATCATTATATGAGTTTTCACTTCACAAAAAACAAAGTGAGGAAGATTTTTTTTTTTTTTTAAATTATTTGGTTGAAGAAATTGTGACCCAATCATATGTATGTAAATAATTATATAAATCTATTGTGTACATGTAGCACAATCGATTATACAATCATTTAGCCTATGTTTATAAACGATTTATAAATATTCAAGTCACTTTGATTACGAGGGAGTCACTTATATTACACACTTATTTGTCACTCATTTCTATTTATACTTTCCAAACATATTGTTACACAGTGGTCGTGGCTTCTATATTTCGGGTTTCTTGTATGTACTTCGCAAAAGGTTAACATTGATGTTCATTCTTACCAAATTGTGCAACCACATGGCATTGTAAAGTATGATTTTGAAACTACACACTGTATCGAGACTATTAATAAACATCCAATTACAAACCATGTTGCATTAATAATTAAACAATAAATATTGCACCTCTAGAAAAACCTATCTTGAATACTCGGGAAGAAATGTTGTTTCCTCGTGCTCACACGAGTAAAAGACAGTGACTAGTGGTGGCAAATGAGCCGAGCTGGTGGCTCGTTCTAAAACGAGCCGAGCTCCTGCTCGGCTCGGCTCGGCCAACGAGCTCGTACTGTAGCGAGTCGAGCTACTCGTCATCGCCTACCGAGCCGGTCGCTCGGCTTGTGCTCGGGCTCGTTTTTAACGAGCCCAAGCAGCTCGTGAGCAACTACAGTACGAGCCGAGCTGTCGAGCCGGCTCGTGCTCGGGCTCGTTTTTAACGAGCCCAAGCGGCTCGTGAGCAGCTACAGTACGAGCCGAGCTGCCGAGCCGCTCGTCATCGCCTACCGAGCCGGTCGCTCTGCTCGTGCTCGGGCTCGTTTTTAACGAGCCCAAGCGGCTCGTGAGCAGCTACAGTACGAGCTGAGCTGCTGAGCCAACGAGTCACTCGACTC